AAATGTCACACCCAAGTTGGTTTCATTTCAGAGATGCAGCGATGGTTCAATTAAAACACTAGGTAAAACCCAACACCCCTTCATTATAAAAACTATAAAGCCCAGAACAAACTACGTATAGGGATTCTTCATCAATATATAAAAGTTACATATATCAAACGGACCATGAACATCATACTCAATGTGAAAAAGCTGCAGGACTTTCCACTGAGACAGGAAACAGAACAAGATTCCCGTCTCACTGCTGTTACCTGGTGTATCTCTCAAAATATTAGGCAGTGCACTAAATCGTGGGGAATCAGGAAAGGGGTTATAAACATGGAGGAAATAAACCAAATCATACGTCTGTCACCAAGTCTCCTCCCTCCCTCTGCCTCCCATGATTGTTTTGTTCCCCCTTCTAAGTGGGTTTAAAGTATCCACACTTGGGCCTTCCTTCTTATTAAGCCTCATACAGTCTGTGCGTTGTATCATGGGCATTCTGAATTTTTTGGCTGATATTCATTTATCACCGAATAAATACTATGCATATCCTTTTGAGTCTGGGTTACCTCACTCAGGATGATATCTTCAAGTTCCAGGAATTTGCCTGCCAAATTAATGATGACCTCATTTTTAATAGCTGAATAGTATTCACAAAGAAGACAAAGCCATACATCGGAGAAAAAAGAAAGCATCTTCAACAAATGGTGCTGGTCTAACTGGTGGTCTGCATATAGAAGAATGCAAATTGATCCATATTTATCTCTTTGCACAAAGCTCAAGTCCAAGGGGATCAAGGACCTCCACATAACAGGTTTGGAAGAATTAATTTCATTAAAATATCTATATTCCTAAAAATTAATCAACAATACAATCACCAACAAAATTCCAATGACATTCTTTACAGAAATAGAAAAGAAATCACCTTAAACTTGTATAGATGTGCAAGGGATCCCAAACAGCTCCGATTTGTAAATAAATAAATGAATAAATAAATACTTATAAATCTCACAACACCTGAACTCAGATTATACTACCAAGCCATGGTAATAAGGCTCTTATGATATCAACATGAAAACAGAAATGTAGACCAATGTAATGGAGCACCCATAAATAAATTCAAGAATCTACAGACCTCTGGTTCTCACCGAAACATATTGCTGCACATAGTCTCTTACACAGTCACTGGGAAGCTGGATGTCTTCTTATACAGGGATTAGAATTAGTCTGTTGTTCATCCTACATGAAAATCATCCGAAATTAAATCATGTTTGCTAATGTAGGTCATGAAACTCCACAGGTATCACCAGACAACACAGGAGAAACACTTCAGTGCATAAGCATAGGAAATCACCTTCTGAACAGGACTCAGAAAATGGGGGAAATAGTAGGAGAACTGACAAATAAAATTGGCCAAGCTTGGAAGTGTTTTAGGAGTAAAGAAGAGGGGAAGGACAGCCTAGACAATCTTTACCAGTTATTCATCTGCAGGAGGATAAACATGTAGTACCTATAAAAAGAAAACTAAGACATTGAACACACACACAAAAAAAATTTAGTGATCTAACCACCAAATGGACAAGGGACCTGTACAGTTTTCCAAAGAAAAAACAATAGCCAGTAACTACATGTCAAAACCTTTAGTCACAGAGAAATGCAAATCAATGTACTTTGAGACTCTGTTTGGCCCTAGTCAGAATGGCTATGACCAAGAAAACAAAAAATAACTGTCTGGCAGGAGCTTGGGTGGTGGGAAGGCAGGGTGGGGCATGTAAATCACTGTTAGTGGAAAAGTCACTGAATGCAGTTGTGATGGAGGTCATAACTACTGTATGATCCACCTGTATAACTTACGGGTAGACAGAGTAATCAAAGTCACCGTTCAGTAGAGATCCTTGCACACACGTGTTAACAGTCTACTACTCACAATGACCACACTGTCAGGCAACCTGGTACTCAACAATGAATGAAAGAGTAAAGATACAGGGTGCAGATCCTCTTCAGTCATAATGAAGATGAAGCCATTTTATTTTCAAGAGCATGGGTGGGCCCATATTAGCACATTTTATTATTTTAGAATGAGTGACAAGTGATTATAGATAGATAGATAGATACATACATACATACATACATACATACATACATAAAAGTCAAAGAGGCTCCATTTCAGAAGATGGCTATCACCTGATAGGCAATATAAACACGATCCACGTGTAAATATTATTCACTTGCCTGAAAATATCACAATGAAAGCCACTGTCTTGTACAATGAATATGCTAATAAAAATTAAAAAGCACAAATGACAATTTTAAAATAGACCCTAACATAAACTCCATAAACAAACAAATAAAACCAGCATTTCAAAGAGGTATTTACACTCATGGATTCGTCTAAACACTGCTTAGAGTAGCCGAAATAGGAAATCGATTTTGGTGTCGTTTGATGAGTGAATGGATAATGAAAATGCTGTGTTTCTATTTTTGTGTTTTGTATTTGTGTCCCATTTATGCCATGAAGCATTATTTTCAGAAAATAATAATAAGTCATTTAAAAAAGAAGAAAACTTGTCATTAGCAACCCAACGAATAGATCCATCTCAAAGGATAAGAGATTAAAATAGAAATTACTAGAGAAAGGAAGAACAATGGGAACAGGAAATAAAGGAAAGTTGGAGTTGTGCATTGAAACACGGTTCCTAAGAGTACCTAGGGATCATCTAGACTTTACATAACTGAAAGAGAGCAAGGGCACGAGTGAGTCCACACATCGTGTCAGCATAATTGCTATGAAAGATTCATAGTTCTGGTTTTACTGGACTTTAAATATCTTTCAAATGACATCTTGACACTGTTGTAAAAGCTAATCAACTGAGAAGGTTTTTAACATGGCTAATCCACCCCAGCCTGACTCCAGCTTCTCTCCTCAGACTACTTCCAAATGCCTCTGAAAGGAGATACAATATTTTATGAGATTTGATCACACCCTTCCTCCAAAATGACTTGTTTCATTGAAATTTTCTACTTTTAAATTTTTTTATTTTCACTCTGTATTTAGGTCTTTACCTCCCTGTATGAATCTGGCAGCCTCGTCTCTACAGCCTGAGGGTAGAAAGGAGTTACCCCCCATCTGTCTCCTCCTGTCAGGTTGCTTATTTTGGAATGGTTAATTGATAAAAGTTAAGAAAAAGCAAAGAACCGAGCAAGGAAAATACAAACAGAGACACCTTCACAGAGGACAGGCATCCTAAGGTAAAATTCCCATCTAGCAATATCACAGAGATATACTGACCCCAGAATCCCCATGCCCCATATACACACCCTCTAGCTAACAAAAAACACCAACTTGCAGGCATTTTGTTGTTTTAGTGTTGGAAGCACCTAAGTAAACATTTCTTTATATTCAGTGTACAACACCATCGCCTGGTGCAGGCTAAGTTGCTCTGTTTTATTTCCCTTTTCAGGTTGAGAGAGATGTCTGTCGCACTGTCATTCTGATAATAGTGATTATTGAAAGTCCTGATTAAACAGAGAACCAAATCATGCCTGGCCCGAGGATGATACTCAGAGCCAGATGCAGTAATTCCTCCCAGTAGAAGCAACTTATGAAGACCACCAGTGTCATTTCTGATATTCAGTTTATAAATCCAAACAGACTGCACCATGCATAGCTTTCTCTCGCAACTACACAGAAGCTCACTTAAGGTAAAGTGACAGGGAGGAGGTGTGATGATGAGAGAGCGAAATACCCTGATGTCACTCCCATAATCATAAACATAAACAGTGCAAAGGGGACAAGTCTCCAGAATCACACCATCATAATGGCTGCCACGCCTGTTTTTGTCAGAACTCCTCTTACAGGAAAGCACTGCACAGGGTTGTGGGAGAGAAAAGGCACAGGAGGGGCACCATTTCTGCAAGGAGGAAGGAAACACAGATGTGACCCATCTAATGAGAAGCCCCTCTCCTCAGTCGCCTGCATCCCAACATAGACATCTCCTCTGGTGATGAAACAATGCACTGCGCTGTTTTCTCTGGCTTTGGAAAGCGACTGCATACATCAGAGCTGATTTTTATGAAGCCACAATTGCTTTTCAAGCAGCCCTAAGGATAGAGTTCTCCAGTGGGAGAACAGGGTTTGAAGCAACCAAACAGAAACAAAACAACACAAGAAATTGACTTCAGAAAATATAATTGAAACAAATTTTGTTTTTCTTTTTCTAACCATTGTTCACGATTTCTTTCCAGTTACCCAGCTGTTTTGTGTCTTAACTATAGTTGATGGTTAATTACCACTGTAAACTTGTTTAGATTAAGAAATATCTAAGACATTAATGAGGTATACTCCTCTGGATGCATTTTCAAGGGTATTTCTAGAATTGTTTTACTAATGAGGGAAAGGTGACCCTGCATGTGAGCAGCAGCATCCTAGGGGCTAGGGTCCTGCACCAAATAAAAAGGGGGAAGGGAGAAAACATGCTGAGTGCAGACACCCCCTTTCTCTGTTGCCAGATTCCACTGCCATGTCTCCCTCAACACAATGGACTATGTTTCCTTGAACTGTGAACCCAAATAAACCAGTCCTTAAGTATTTCATCAATTATTTTATGACTGCCATAAGAAAATAACTAAGACACCATATTGTTTCTACAGTAACATAATTAAGGTTTAAATCTAGATGAAGAGAGAAAGCAGAAAGCCTTGTGAACCGTTAGTAAAACTGTAGCAACTTAGACCGATGGAAGAGTCTGTCTTCATCCATTCTGGCAACAAAACTCTGCTCTGTATTCATTATAAGAGCCACTTTACCACCTATAGTTTAAGGAAATGATTATTGACACTTTAATAGCTTTCATCTGAAGTAACAATGTACATAAATTATTTATTCTATAATTAAATTTGTCCAAATATTTTCTTTAAGAGTTTATCTTCTTGACAATGTACATTTATTGCAAAGCTACTTATAAAAGTAGAATATTAAACCTTATGTAAAATTTTAGAAAATTGGGAAAATCATTAAGCTTGCCCCCTAGAAACATTGCAGGTGTGGCTGCTATGTCACATGTCAGTAGGTGGCAGGGAGGAGAGAGGCTATGTCTACGCTCAGTGTTCTGACCTATGAACATCTGAACAATTAGTAGTCTAACACACTCTGAAAAAAAAAGCAAGCCTGAAACAACCACCTGTCCAGTGCCAGAGGGCTTGGACAGGGAGCTAGCCTGAGATGACCACCAGTCTGGCATCTCACAGGCCTGGACAAGCTCCCAGGACTGGAAGCAAGTCAGAGACTTGAAGAATCCTGAGACTGTAGACTCAGGCTGAAGTGAGCCCAAGACACATGACCTTCCCATGGGACCACTCAGGCAGGCTGGGTGAAAAGGGGGTCCAAGAAGACCATCAGACAAGCGCTAAGGAACCTGGACAGGAAACTAGCCTGAGATGACTACCAGTTTGGCACTGTGCAGGCCTGAAGAGGCAAGACCGTGTCCGAGATGAGCCCTGCCTGGTGCCATAATACATAAACAGGGAATATCATTTTCCTCACCAGCTGCAACACTCAAGAGAGTGGTCCTGCACCTTGCCTGGACAGCAGGGTAGATGTCGCCAGACTTTCGGCTACTTTATTGGTTCTTATTTCTACCACCCTTCTCCACCCTTATCTCTTCCAACCCCCACCCCTCAACACTAGGTAGAAAAGAAAGAAGGCTAGAGTGGAAAGAGGGCATTGATCTCCTCAGACTACTTCCTGCTGATTAGGGGCATCGAGTTCCTTGGGGCAATTTTGATCTTCCTTGCTAGGATATCTCCAACCAGCAACCACCAGCACCAAGAGCAGCAGCTCACTGCTCTCTGGGGGCTCTTGCATTTATATAGCCTCTCAAGAGTCTCCACAATTCTAAATGTCATACACTTGAAGAAACTATCCACAGCTGGCAAAATCATGCTCCTGCCAGAGCATGCAGCAAATCATAGCCAGCTGGTATGAACAATCTGAAGCAGCCCTTTATCCTATACCTGGGATTAAAACAAATACATATCCCCATAACATTTTTATGTTTTTAAAGACACCAAAATTCTCACTACAGGTAGAGCTGGTTATAGGGTAGCTAGTGAGCCATCTCTAAAGGCAGGAGAGCAGGAGAGCCAGCAAGCTATGAGTTCAGATGCCTCTCAGGCCTACATCCAGGTCTTCAGAATGATCCACCCCAATATCTACCCTATCAAGGAACTGCTGGAGTGCAGGAAGGGGCAGGTCCTACAGATCAAAAAAACACAGGGTCTCCATGACACAGGGCAGTAACAGGATATCTGAGAGGAGTCCCAGTGAGGTTCTAGTATTGATAGAGTAGCAGATGCCAGAGGCTTTGTACTAGACCAACAAACAATTGCAATGAACATCTCCAAGCAAAGGAGAATGAAGGGTGAACAAAACTGTATGTATACTGTGGGCCACTCTATGATGTACTACAACTTCCACAGTAAGGTTTTTTTTTTTCTCTGTTCTGGGAAGGTTGTAAGGGTGGAAGACAGGCACCAGGGAAGGAGAAGATGAATGGGACTGAGGTGCACGATGTGAAGCCCTCGAAGAATCAGCAAAAAGCTTTTTAATAAAAAAAGAAAAATATTAAGAAAATATTGGTGTCTCTACTGAATTTGATGGCAAATTCACAGTAATGGCTGACTGGTGAAAGAATTCATAATTATGCTGTTACACCATTCTGCCCATAAATATAAGATGGAAGGCAAGATGCAAAGATGAGAATATTTAATTCTTCCACATAATGAAATTATAAAGAAAATATTATTTCCATTATCATATTATCATCTTATTTTGCAATTGACGGTGTTAAGTGGAAAGAAAATTATACATGTATTTGTGCAAAAAAAAACTAAATAAATAAGATAAAGCCTCAGCCTAGGGAGCTGAAAGAAGGAAGATATTTTTTAAAATAATATGTAAAAATTATATACATAGCTTATCATTAAGTAGAAGCTCTGTGGAGGACTCACATCTCTCTCTTGGTCATCAGGAAAGCATAATTTCTAGTGTATATAATTAAGAAATATTTCAAGACAGTCTTCGATGACCTCTCCCTTGCTTTTTGTCATTCAGAATGTAAGTACAAGGCAAAGGAGAAAAAATGCAATGTGTTGACTTTTAGAAGCTTGGATATAAATGTTCGGGAGTTACATACATCATCCATCAGCTGGCTGGGGGCTCATTCACCCTACATGTACAGAAATCATGAGGAGGCAAGAAGGGCTTCAAATACTGGACTCTAGTAGCTCTCATTTCCTTCCAAGTTTGGAAATGCAGCAGGAGCAGGCTGAAACAGCAAATGACACTCCCTAATGTGACAGTCTCTATGAAGGCAGAGGGTCTGGGACCCTTGGCCCCTGCAGCAGCTACTGTAACAGCCCTCAGCCTGTATCTCCATGGAACCCTTGCCCCTGAAGAGTTAACTGTTCTCGTAACAGGGAAATTCCGGTCTTCCCTCCAATTTTCTCTCCTTAATGCCCTGCAACCATTTAGCTGCTTCTTCAGCTGCCCTGCCGATGGTTGCCTGACCTCTTCATTAGCTACCGGCAGAACTGACTTGGGGTGCCTGCCTCTGCCAGGCCTGCTTTCTGAAGCTGGAGTGGGAGCCAGGTAGCAGGCTGGTTAGTAACTGCTGGGTGCTGGGTGTGGCCAGGACCACTCAGATGCAAATATATACCACAGGCTGAATTCATGTGAGTGGAAAGGATCACCAACAGTCCTGATCTGTCAGGTCGTCAGGGATCAAACTATACCTGCTAATAATGCACATAGAAGTCCAAACTGGGAAAATGGATGTTACACAAATTTTAATTGTTTGAGATCCTAGTGCGGGTGAAAAGCCAAGTTCAAGCACCCTGGACCATTGCTAAGGCTGACAGAACTACTTCACCCATCAATTTGTCTGTTGCAGACATTCTGTACTCAGAACTGTGATCCCAGGACTCAGAAGTGTAAAGTGAGCTTTTAGAAAGCCCAGGGTTGAGGGTGTGAAGCCAGGCAGTATGTGATCCACTTGTAATGCACACCCAGGGTCCTCAACTAGCAAACTGACGTGGAGTTTATCATTTTTCATCTAGCAAGCTTCTGCTAAAGCTCTCTAGGTGAGCTTGCTTGCTTGTGCTGCCACTAAAGCTCTCTGGGGAGCTTGCTTGCTTGTTTTGTTACCAGTTCAGCCTACACGACTGAAGGTAGTCAAGGAAAGAGAAGTCTTTATTGAACTTGACATTGAAACACCGAAGTGTCTCAATGAGGCCAAGCAGCCCACCTTTAGAGCGTGAAAATGGGTATTCAGACCAATCATAACCACATTTGGCCAATCACACACTTCTTTAGGCCAATCACAGCAGCTTCATAATTTAACACCATGCAGAGCCATTAAGGCTGGTGTTTTGGATCAATGATGGCCTGTCCCTTAGTAGGTCCCAATCATAGTAGGTCTTACAACAGGAGACTTGCTCCACCTCTGGTAGGTGAAAAGGTTCACTGAGGTTTACAATTGTAAAATGTCTGCTACACAAATATTTCTAACAGCCCTGGCTGGGACAGTGGCTTCAAGAGCCAGGGCAATCAACTTCAGTCTTTTGCATAATCGTTTCAAGGCATCCATGGAGCATTCCAGGCAGCTGGCTGGTCCTGGGATAAGGGTCGTCCAGCTGGCTGTTACACTGATAGTGCTTTTGATCAAAGCAGCAAAGAGAGTTCAATAACTGCTAATTAGGAAGTCAAATTGATCCATCCCCAGTGTCTTGCTTTATTTACAGGAAAATGATCAGAAGGAATATTTACAACTTTAAATATAAAAAAGTTAGCATTAATACTAAAAGCAATTTTTAAAACACTTTAGCAATTCTTATATTTCCCTACTGCCCAGAGAAAGCTAATCTGGTTGTTTGTCTTGGTTACATCCTTCTAAAAGTCATCTTCAGGAGGCTCCTTTAACCCTTATCAACTGGACGTGGCACACTAGTCTGCCTACACTCTAGAACAGCAAGGGAGATTCAACCCAGCATGGAAGTACTCCAAAGGAAATATACCAGCCTACTAATGGATTAACCCAGTTGGAATCCAGGAGCAAAGGAATATGATTAATGTCCATATAAATCATCCTTCAAGATATCAAAGCAAACAGAAAAGCAGAAGTAAATATAGATGGAGAAATTACCCACCAAAAATATCTATAAAAATTAAATTTCAACAGCACTTAAACAGTAGAAAATTGAAATTTTTCCTTTTGTGGTCAAGAATAAGAAAAGGATGATAACAACATCACTAAAGAAGTAATGATTGGTAAAACAAAGATCAAAACCTATCGTCTACAATGAAATGATTGTGTACATTAAGGACACAAAAATTGCAAAGAAATACTTAGTTCTAACAAGTGAGTGGTAATAAGCTAGTTTATCATGGCTGTTAATGTCAGAAAAAGTCAACTATGTTAGTGTGCAAGTGAAAACAAAAGCTAAAATTTATTTTTAAAATATTTTATTACATATATTTATTTGTTTGCTTGTGAGGAGGGTACATGTGGAGGTCAGAAGACAGACAAACTTTTGGGTCAGCTCACTACCTCAACCATGTGGGTCTTACAAACCAACCCAGGTCATCAGGCCCAGCAGCAGGCACCTGTATCCCCTTAAAATCTTGTTAGTTAGCTTCAAGTCCAATTTGTGATTCCATTAAAAGCAAGGTTTCAGCACACATTAAAACTGTAGGACAAAGTGCAGTTTGCCCATCTGACAAAATGAGATCCATATTCAAACAACAGATGCCATGTGCAAAGTTTGCATCCTCAGAGACAGTCTGCTCAGAATGATCTCTGGAGAATGCATGTCTCCTAGGACATTCCCTCCTCTAAAATCTATTAAAATATTTAGCATTTATAACAAAATAAACCTATAAAATATCAAGGAATAACCTGACTAATCAATGTCTGATAATATAGACAGTTATAAAAATCTTATTGATAAAAATTAAAGAAAATTTAACTATATGTAAATATAAGCCATATTATAGATCAGGAGATCAAATGCTGAAAGGTACTCTTCCCCTCAAAATCACAATGTATAGATTAATTCAACTCTAGGAAAATCACAGTTGAATCTGAAAATCTTGTTTTAAAATATATAAAATTGAAAAGGCTAATAATTGCCTGTAATTCATTTATTGTTTGTTTATAAATATGAACTGCTTCCAGAATTTGCATGTTATCCTTGTACAAGAGTCATGACAAACTTCTCTGTATTGCTTCAGTTTTAGTAGATTTGCTACCAAAATGAGAACAATAGCCTATATTTTTTTTAAAGAACATATTTTATTTGACAAAACAAATATGTCAGAAAATCAACACATCATAATTTCAGAGTATTTGAAAAGTGTAGCATTTGCCCAAGAATAGATAAATGTGTTAATGGAACAGAACTCTCAGTTATAAATCTAGTCAGAAATGGCCTCTTCATTTAAACTCATTTTACAATACATCAGAGAAAGAAACAACCTTTCAATAAGCAGATGAAGACATCCGTGGAGAAAGATGACACAAGGCTATGTCGTACCTTTCACAAACACTCCCAAGCAAGTCTTATCCCAGATTACGCATGAAGCAGAAATTTGTGTAGAAGACATTTATTAAGACATGTTCTGAAGTTCAGCACTCAAGACAAGGGTTAGTCACGTAAAGGACTCAACTACAGTGTTCTCACTCCAAAGGCCTCTATTAAGCTCAGGAAATGAGCTGACCTTCAGAATTGACCAAAATGTAGGAAAGGGGCCAAGACTTTTGACCATTCATTGAGCAGGCATTGGACACAGGTTACTACAGGGAAGAGGCAGAATTTTGGGCAGAGTGACTTTCTTAGGAGATTCGTAGAAAGAGCCCTGTACAAGACCCCAACTCAGAGTTATCAGTCAACAATACTCCTTGGAAATAGAGAAAGAAGTCTTAGTATTCAGTGAATCAGGGATGGCTAGGTCAGCTTCCACATAGGGAAAAGAAAAGAAATGTCCCTGGAGATGATGTGCAGAAAATATCTTCATGATTCTAATGCAGAGAAACATTTCTTAGATGCAGTACATAGAGTTGGAGTAGATTCATAGGCCAAGTGCTTCCCTAGCACACTGCAAAGCCCTGGTCTCAATCCACAGACACACACACACACACACACCAAAAACACTAAACATAAATACAAAGGTGACAGACAGGACTATAGAAAAGGGAACTATTAAGAAAATAAAAGGCAAGCCATGGAATGGGAGAAAATACCTGTAACGACATAGAATAACAGAAAATTTCTACAAAGTTAAATAGTTCTGGTTCCCCAAAATGAAGTGTGAATGACCAGCAGAGCTAACAAGCACAGTCATTATCACACAGTAATGAACAGGTGTCAAAACTGTTGCCTGCAAGCCTACCTATAAGAACCCAGTGATCAGAGTTCTACTAAATGCACCCAATCAAAAGGAACATGATATAACTCAATGTACACTCTCCTTGATTAGGTGTACACACTAGGCAGTGTGCTGGTTAGTGTTTGTCAACACTATTTCTATCTGGAAAGAGGGGATATCAATCATAGAAATGTCTCCTTTCGTTGGTCTGTGGGAATGTGGGTATATTTTCTTAATAGCTAATTGATGTAGAAGAAGCCAAACCCACTGTAGGCAGTAACACCTCTGGGTAGCTGGGTCTGAGCCACAGAAAAAAGGTAGCTGAGCAAGCCAGGGAAAACAAGCCAGCAAGCAGTGTTCTTCCATGGTTTTTGCTTTAGTTCCTGCCTCCAGTTCTAGCCCTGAATTCGCTCAGTGGTGGACTGTTGCCTAGGAGATGTTGGATAAACAAATGCTTTCCTATCCCACATTGCTTCTGGTCATGTGTTTATCACAGCAACACAAAACCATACTGGAACAGAAAGAACCAAAATCCCTTGTTTTCACATTGGGATGACTTCAGTCTCCTGCACTTCTCTACTTCACTCAACCTCGGGAACTATTGATTATTTTCTGTATTGCTTTTTCTCTAAAGAAACTGAACCTCTTTTATCTTTGTTCCCTCTTTCCCAAATTATTCTCAATTGATTTACAAATTATCTCATCATACCCTTTAAACAAAAGAGATGCTCTATAAAATTAGCAAACTAAATACACCCACATCACCCAGATCTTTGAGAAAAGTTTTTTAAATGGTTGTCAAAATAGTAAGCACATAGAATTATACTAATACTACTGCATGTGGCGAGCCTGCTGTAATACAGAACTATGGTTGCTCCTTTAGGCTTCCCCTTAATCTTCAGATGTATTGTACAGAGAACTGAAAAGTGTACACCACAGAATTCATTTTCTTGGGACTGTCAGGAGCTCTGTGACCAGACACAGTAGGTCATGGGTTTGATCCCTAATACTGAAAATTGATGAATAAACAGATCAGTGAATAAATAAATTAATTAAAATTTATAGTACTTAAAGAAAATTGTTTCATGTTGCTTTAAAGGACACTAAGAAACATCGTATAAAAGTTAAATCTTGTTGTAGTAAATTTTTTATTAATCATTTTATTCATTTACATTTCAAATGATATACTCCTTCCAAGTTACCCTGCCACAACCCCCGTATCCCATCCCTCTTTCACCCCTCCTCATGTTGTAGTAACTTTATGGGAGGTTTCTATCCCCACTCTATCCTATTTATCTCCTTAGTAAATGACTACAGACACCAGATTTTATTAACAAGCTGCTGGCTTGTGCTGGACAGGTTCTGAGCTATTCCAACCCAACTAGTCTATTAATGACCATATAAATGTCCCATTATTTGCCAACTGGGTATCGCTTTGTTCCATGTGTGTCCTCAGGGTGAGTTTCTCTTGGTCACATGCTCATGGTCCATCCTGCCTCATGGTGAACTTTTTCTTCTCCTCTCCTTTTTCCTTCTCTTTCCTCGTTGTCCCTACCTGAGATGTCCCCAGTTGATCCAAAATCCTGTCTTCCTCTCTCCCCTGCCCAGTCATAGTCTCTAGCTTTTTTTTTTAACCTGTCAGGGGCAGCCCTGCTTATACACTGAAGCCCTAAAATCAGCAATAGGCCTAAGTCAGCCGGCTAACACAAAGTCTTAGTCTCTATGGAAAAACACTGAAACAGATAGCTATAAGATATTGTAAACAGGCAGCTTTGGTGGAAATTTACCAGCCTGGATAGGAACAAGTAGTCATAGGTCTTATGGATAATCATAGACCTTGGGTAGCTTTGGTGGATAGTACCAACTTAGATAAGGACAAGTGAATCATAGGCGGAGTCATAGTGACCCATACCCTGAAACTTCACCCAGCTGACACTTTGAATTGGAAGATATCTGTACTCCCCCTGAACACCTATGCTCCTGCGTCATCCCCTTCCCCACATCCTGCCTTTTTGTGTGTATAACCTGTGTGTGAAAAAGTAAAAATTATGAATTGATCAGACTATAGACAAATCGTGGGTCTTTGCGTTCATCTGTTTCCCCCATCCTCTCTTTCACGTGGCCTCCCCGGACCCCTGTCTACTGCCCTGTTAGATGGGGCATTTACCAATCAGGGATTATTAGGGGATGTTCTTTACATCACATTGGCCAATACAATGCTCATGTCCAGACTGCAGCCTAATCTTGGGGTACAGAATGCATTATCTGAATACACAGTGCACAAAACCAATCCCAACAAAATCTGTTTTCGTGTCTTCTATTAATCTGTTCCTTATTTATTTTTCTTAGTATCATTTTTCTTTGAATTATCATCAGGAAAATCTAAAGGCATATTGATAAGAGGTTAGAGAGATGGATCAACAAATAATACCCTTTTCTATGAAAGCATGGGGACCTTGGATTAGATCCCAGCACCAATATAAAAATCCAGTTATGCCTGCACATATAGCTGTAACTTCAGAGCTTGAGGAAGCATGGGGTTGAGAGATAGAGAGCAGGAGGATTGCTGGGGCTTGCTAAATTCCACTCTAGCTCCAGGTTCAGTGAGAGAGACTGTCTCAAAAGAGTAACAGAAACAGGGAGAACAAGATACCCAAAATCCTCTGCTAGCCTCAGTACATGTGTATGGACATGAACACCATATACATATGTATACAACACACACACAAACACACAAGCCAGCACACACATGCACGTGCACATATACACACATACACACATGCACACACACACACATGCACACACAGTTTTGGCAGCTAAGAGAATGTCATCCATTATGCCTTCCCAAGTCTGTTATTGCACTATGAAAATAGAAAGTCTTCCTGGAAACAAAAGTGCTCTCTCTCCCAGTGAGAGCAAGGGAGACTGCAAGACTGAGGAGAGCATGTTCTCCTGAATTTGTCCAAATTTGGAATTCTGTAGTCACTTCTGTTGCCTAAGTTTTCAGTTTTATCTACATCAGTGGAAAAGACTGATGTGATATTGTCACTACTTCAAGGAGGGGACACATAGCAAAACTACTTAAATACATGAATGGAGGTACAGACATATCCACAAGGTTCACCATTAACCTCTCTCCTGGGAAGCTGGTCTTAAGTAGTTCTCCAGATGGCCTCATGCACTGAATGGCTATTTGAACTCTGTTGGTATCTTCTATTAGCACTCATTAGCAAACATGAGATCTTTCTGTTGCTGAGAGTGTCAGCTCTGATTACAGGATGAGAACAGAACAGCTTCTTTGACCAAATTACATCTTGGCACTTACAGCTGTGATCCACTTTCCAATGATTATTTCAAAACCCATTAAAATGAAGAAAATCAAGAGGGTGATTCTCATCTGAAACCATTAGATGCAAAGTCGTGTCTTGCTCTCAGACTGACACTGTTCAAAAAGACAAATACCCAACATTGAGGCTCACGAACAAAAGCAAGAATGTTCCCACATAAACCCTTTGTCCAGGACTTGCACGGATCCTTGCTGCTTCACCTTTGCTTTCTTGTTTAAATTGGAAACATAACAAGCAGCCGGCAAAGGCTATATCAAGCTTTTACCTTGTCTTGAGTAGAAAAGTAGACATCAATTCCTGGGTGGTATTGCCTTTGAAATGTTTCTCCCCATCCTTAAAGGTAAACCCTGCAGAAATCTCAAAGGATGCCGTTGATCTGCTAGTCTTTCAAGAACAGAGAAGATTGTGGTTAGCTAACTAATGAGGCATCATACTTTGAAAGCTACTTGTACCCGGTCTTAGGAAACAGTGCTGAAAATGTGAAGAAGAGAGCTTAGAAATCAAATACTGCTGTACTAAGGGACCTGACTTCTGTCACAACAGTGGGGAAA